TCACAATCTGGCTTTCCCACCATCTTCCCCCATCACCTAAAGGAACCATGGGCCTGGAAGATCGCAGCCGTAAGGGTTAAGCCTTCTTAGTCTTAACACATGTCGATACATGTTCTCATATCCTTGGCTTGTTCTGTGCTGAACAATTACAAGCAAGCTTTAGAAGTGAAATCAGAAAACTTTCCTCGGTATGTTTTTTGAAAATCTAAAATTAAAAACTGCACTGTTAAGACAGAGCGAATTTCTAACAGCCTGCATTTTTGTCTGATTTTCCATCAGTGGTCTAGCGCAGCCACGGACGTCAATTGTGTGATTTAATCGATATATATTCATCACAAGTTAACCGCATTGTTCGTCTGCCTGTCAGTTCTGGTGGAATTTCAAGAGAGATCTGTCATGCGCGGAAGACTGACTCTTGTGTTTTGCAATACGCCAGACAGAACAGACCACGCAACCTTTAAGAAATTGATTTTTTTTAACAGAGTAAGGCTATAACGTACTACTGAATTCACGCAGGCCCAAAAGGACTGTTACGGAACTTACTCAGTGCCAGGGGTTGACATGCAGATTTTGAAGTAGACGTCGCACTTGCGTTCATGTGGAAACACATCACAACTGGATGTCTGGGCCAGATTCCGTGGGTTCTCGTAGCTCAGTTCCAGTGTACAGGCGGCAGCGTAGCCCTCAAACTGAAAAGAGGTCGGGAGAAAAACTTCAAAGTATTACCTTACCAATTTTTTTAGTAAGACAGTCTCAGCCAAACCATAAAATGTAAAGTATTTGCAAGTGCCGCAAGGAATTCACAGGTCGGTAGTGGCCGCTAGCTCTACTTGGACTCCGCACGTGAATGTCTGTCGCACGCTGACTCATCGCGTCTATGGGAACAGGCGCAAATGTGCGAACCTTGCCTTGGCGTCCTGGCTTCAATCCACAGGCACTTAACCTTAATCCGTCCAATGAGATTCCCGCGTAAGTAGACTAGCCTCATTTAGTAGGTTGGCCTCAATCCGTCCGGACAAAGACCACAATGCTTTGTCTGCCCCCAGACAAGACTTCGGACCTAGGCCCCTTCGCGACTGGACCTGTGCTCCGACAGTCAACACTTCCTCCTAACTATTTTCAACCCTTCGGTACAGAATACAATATTCCTACCAATCTGGCCTTCCCATGACTTCTCTCTTCTCCTAAAGAACCGGGCCTGGGACACCGCAACCGTTAGGGTTAACCTTAATAGCCTTAGAACTCTTCGATAGGTCTAGGCTGGTCTGCAGCTTCAGTGTAAGTCATTCAAAGAAGTGATTTCGAAATCACTGCTTCAAACTGCTATCTCGCCTGTCTCCCACACCTCGTCCTGCTAGGTTATCCCAGCTACACTAGAACCTGTATCCAAATTAGTTTACTTTATAGAGATAATGAAAAGCGTCCATATCTCGTTCCTTCAGATGCCCAGAGGTCCGTTTACGATGTGCGGTAGTTTCAAAATCTCTCGAGACCTTGGTAAACCGGGATTGGAATTGGCGAACAATAGGCAACTAAATGCAACAACCGATTGCGCTTTCCGCTTTTGTATACTGGTAAAAAGCCATATGAAAAGGGGGTGTGTTGCTGTTGAAGGAGTAACTACTTATTTAAAATACTTGGGTGTGGTTTACTGCAATTTGTTAGGCAATAGGTCGCGAAAGGGACTATGGGTTTAGGCTTAGGGTTTACGGTCGAGACTATGCTGTTAGGGTATTGTGGGACTCAATTTATAGGTTTGAGGCTTTGAGGGCAGGTTTTCGCGTTTCGGATTGGAGTTAGGGGTTTAGCGTTACGCTAAGAGTGAGGGTTAGGGTTAAGATTAGCTGTCTGGGTTAGGGGGATGCTGTTATACTTAACGCTGGAGGTAGTACTTTCGTTAAGGTTTTAGGGCTGGGGTTTTGGAATTGAGGCTAGGTCTGTGTTGGAGTTAGTGCTGTCCGCCTTCAATTCCCCCGCGGTGGGTTTGCGTACCCTATCCTCTCTAACAATACTGCTCATATACTTTAGTGTTCTGCCACTTTGAGTTCGCATTGCAGTCATTTACTTGACACAGTGAGGTAAGACTAGGGCTGAAGAGGTTTTGCTACAAATGATTAATTCCTAGTTGTTTTATTACTTTCTCCGAAAATTAAACAAGGTAGTTGTTATGTAAGCTGCCCTACCGCTCAGTTTCAACTGGCGGGCCCTACCAGCTCTCCTGCCTTATAGGTAAACTTTAAAATTGTTGATTGCCCCTTTCCGTACGAGAGTTTGAGATAATCCTGTACTGGAAATCTGAGACGAAATAAATCGTAGTCCTTAGTCCCTTGGACAGTCAGAACTGACCGGTTAATGCCACTCACCTGCAACTTCATTGACCTCATTGCAGCCCACAGCGTAAAGGGCCGGTGGTTCAACTGTGAAGTCGTTGATTCAACGTTCAATGCCCAAAGAGTTCGGGTTTTCTAGACTTGTAATAGCCCTACTGCGGCGCCTGTTACAATACTGCGCCCTTCTCTCTATCCCTCGAGTACTTGTACATGTGTACCAGTGGCAGTCCGTTCTCGGCCAATTACGGCTGTTCAAACTGGCCAATCCTCTTCAAAACCAATTTAGACACTGTAACGAGTTCCCGTTCTCTCCCACTCGAGACGCAGGTTACGCCGAGAAACAGCAGCACGAGTTGCTTAACTGATCTCTTGTTTGGACAGCTATCATAAATTTTAGCGACAATCTGTAAAAAGGGTTGCCTAGTTTTTAGGGCTTGTCATAAAGGTATCAGAGGACTATCGTGAACGTTCATGATTTCGTCTTCTCTTGTCCTGGCAAAAATTCCCGAGCGCAGCCACTGCATTTAACTATTCGACGGATATTCTGTCAGTCTATTACAACCATAGTAAATAGTGGATTTCGACGAAACAGTCTACAGATGTGCATCCATAAAAGTCGCGAAACTAGGAGTTTCTGATAATAATTTTGCAAAAAACACCTATCATTTCAATGAGCCTATCTAATCATCTGTCTCAAGGTAGACTTCTTAAACTCCGCACACCATTAATACACCAACAAACGAACGGTTTTGTCAGCTTTTTTAAAGCGTTCCAGTCGCTAGGAAGAAAATCATGCCCCACGCTCCTACTTTTCGCTACTATCTCTGAAGTTACATGTTTTGATTTGAGAATCCACAGTTTGGCAGAAAGACGTTGGTCAGTTTATACTGGCTTGAAGGA